TATTCGTTCTCACGGGGGACAATTACCAATTTTTACAAAGACATTTTCATGGAGGCGCAATGCAATGCCGTGATATCCTGCCCAAGCCGTAATCGTTCACTCTAGCGTATCAATTACTTCGGTGCACTGATTATGGACGCGATCGATTTATTGGTGGGTATTATGTATATACATGCGAAACCTATGTACGCGTTGTGCGGCTCTTCACCAAACCATACAATGAGGTTTGCCGCGGTTGAAACTATAGCAACACCGATCTACGTAATCATCACTATACAATACTGCTAAACTATTAATCAAATATTCTCTAATACACGAAGTGAAATAGTGAAATGAATGAGTTTTTGGGGGAAATTGGTTTCGCAGAATGTCGGGTTAATCTCGTCATTATTTCACTTGTGCTTTAATACCACTTCATTCCGTTAATAATTGTCACATGTTTGAGATAATTAAATGGTAATAAACCATGTACTACACGTACTGATTAATTAAGTTGACAATTGCGATATTCTGAGAGTGGAAAAATGAAGAATTAATGGATTATTCCAAAGACTGAGTGAATAATAATTCTAATTAACGCTGTCGTATTATTTTCTGCTGTATTTTCAGGGAAACGATAAACAGTTTTATATTTTCAATTGCATGTCATTATACTCGGATTGTATGCACATCAGAATACACAGAATACATTACGGCCCCTGCATGTACGGTAATATCATTATGCCGTCAAGAGGAACGATAAGAGTGCTCCTCATATATCGAGGACACGAGAGGCATATTGTGAATGAAAAAAAAAATACGTCTGAAAAAACAGAAAAACCAGAGCCGCATATTTCGTCGGGCCGATTCAGCTCCGCTGAGTGGAAAACGACTGACGTCATGAAAAATGACGCCATCAGTGTAAAACAGCTTACTTTCGAGTGGTTGAGCTTCGCCATCGCGTTCCCCTTATCCTTAAAATTCTATCCACCAACCAAACCCGAAAAAAAAAACTCATGAATGATGATCAAAAGAAGAATTAAGTTAACCAGACAATTGTTCCAACACACGAAATCCTCAGGAGTTCCTTAAAATCGAAATCACAACGGAGAATATTACCACTCCCTCGAGATTTGAAATTGAAACGAGGATTATTTTGAAAATTCCTCCGCATTTTCAACCGTAACGGAAGAATGAATCATGCAAATCGAGATTTACATTTGGCATTAACGTTCTCACTGAATAATTACGTTCATCAATCATTCGGGACATATTATTTTTCCCTTTCTCTTTAACGCCCCTTTCTCGCTCGTTCATTCACGCATACAAAATGTACAAAATGTACATTCTCCAGTGAAATATTTCAGTGGCTATTTCGCGGTATTTGATATTCTCATTTAATCCATTAATCCATATATACGTAACACATTCGATATTTCT